AAAATGCCCCTCTCTAGTGAGCTGTAGTCAAGATTCAGACCAATTCATGAATGAATCATTCATGCAGGTTTAGGGAAATGGATCGACTGATTCATTAAAAAGATTCTTATAAACGTGCCAAGAAGAGCTAGGGAAGACTTTTCTGTGATGGTAAAGAGTTCAGATTCATACAGGTTTGGAATGACATAAGGGTGAGTAAATGGTTAACTATCCACATAAGTCAAAACTATCAAAAAGCCATAACTATCAAACAAGTACAAAAAAATTATACAAAATGCTGAAACACTTAGTATGGGCATGGAGATGGCCATTAAACCTTCTTCTAGTATCGCCTCGCTCGGAGCGTTTCCTGTTTGTGTCATGGGGTGTTGTGTAAGAGTGGGGATACGGTCACCGCATGGGACTCTTGTCAAAAACATTAAATGAATACAGCTGGAGTCAACAAATGACACTGGCTATTGTTTTTTTTTTGGTGCTTTACGGTGAACTTTCTCCATTTTAAGACAAAAACTACATATTCTCGAGGGAGGGATGGAGGCTGTGATTATGTCAGCTATCAAGCATTATTAGAGGTTCCACCCTGAGATCAAGCACAGATGATTGGGTCTTTATTAGTGTACCACACAACTTATCCAGAGCTTTGCGAGTTCAGCTGCACCTGGCAAAGTCTCTGATCCTGACAGCTGCGGAGTACCAGACACACGTGCGCATGCATACATAAACAAGAGTAGACATATTTTAATAGTATCAAACGGACACGCTTTACCTACAGCGGCTCAGACAGGTCTCAGATCAGGTTATGAGAAGAACGACCTCTCTTATCTCTTTTCTGCAGCTGCCACAAACATTCCTCATGTGCACGTAAACACAGGCCAGATACAGCGTGTAAGAACAAAGCGTAATGCGGTCCCTCTAATGCGAACGTCTCACTATCGAGACTTGATCGCATTTCCTGCACTGTTTTTACCAGCTGTAATTAGGGAGCATGTGTACTTGATCCCACTTAGAGACACAGTTCAGAGGACTGTTGTGTTGTAGAAGGACCCTATGTACTAAAGCCCATTTAGATTTGACATTTACGCTAGGGTATGCGTACTACTGTGTGCTTGATGTGAATTTCATCATCAGCAAAGTATCCACAAATTGAACGAACACCCAGACAGATTTTTCCAACTCGCTTATGCGCTTAGATTTTTTTTTGCGCCAATTAGTTTGGCCACAAGGTGGCAACTCTGGCGGATAAACGGACAACAAGAAAAACAAACTAGATGGAAACAACCATAGAAACCCATGTTGACGAGTTTGTCTGAGGAGATCAAGAGATACTCATAACTCTAGTTTAAATGAGTACAAAGACTTTTTTTTTTTCACTAACGTTTTAACATTTGGAGAAAAATAGCGCAGACAGTGGACAAGCATGAATCTTTTTATAGCACTTGTGTTCATGCACACTATGAGTAAACTTTGAAAGGCTATGCATTTGACTATACTTGAACTTTAAGGAATACATTTTTTATCATCCATTGTCTATCATCAATATTGTAGTGGGAGAAAGTGCAACACCCAATATGGCGGAATAAGTCCCGCCTTCTGAATAAAAGAGCCAATTGCCAATTGGCAAAGTCATTGCGTCACTGCAGCTGCCGACCAATAGAGTGGTGCAGGTATGACATCACTTTGTTGGCCAAAACGTGGAAACGAGTTAGCATTTTAGCACTTCCGGTTCCATCGTCCCAAAGTCAATGGGATTTTGGTTAAATGGCTAAAATAAGGTCTGTTGTGAACACAAGCTCAATAAGACACTTTCACGTTTTATTCTACGACATAAAATACATCAGTATTACCCCACTCAATTGTCGAGGAAATGAAACGTCATCACTCTGAACAGGTAAACTCAGTCCGCTTTCACAGCCGCGTTATGCTTATAATTGTGCTCTTATAAACTATTCTAACTCAAGCGTTCAAGAAATTTTTTTTTAGATAAAAACTGAAATGTCGGAAGCTTAGTGATGTTGATATTGAAGTCGTGGGACCATGGTGTAGTTCATTTATAGCCTACCTTTAGCTTTTTACTTCAGGCGACTGCATTTAGGCTTCAAAATTCATAAAGGTTGTGTTCATCTGGGAAAATTAACTTGATGGACAAAACGCGCAAGTGTCATAAAACTTTGTTGATTACAGAGCTTTTTTTTTTTTTTTTTTTATAATCCAAAAGCCTATGGAAAATGGGGATGCTAACTGCCGGTTGGCCTACAAAGTGACGTCATACCTGCACCACTCTATATAGGCTTTAACAGTTAGTGTTGTGAGACGCGCACTTAGAGGCCAATTCACCCTGCACGACAGACGCCAACCAATGAGGACAATCACTGGATTACAGTATGTCACTTCTCAGACATTCCAAGACCCGATAAATGCTGATTCAACATGTTCAATCAGCAAAAACGAGAGCCAGCCAACACCGACAGGGGTAACACACTGATCCGACAAAACCCGACAACCTGCACATGTACATTGGCTGGTCTAGCCTGAAATATAAGCTTTTTTAAATGCAAAAATGAGCCATATGAAATAGCATTTATGGGACAGTTCATGTCAGATTGTGTTGTTGATTTAAAATATGTTAGTGTGGCAAGCAGATTTTAAAATTCCCTCATTCAAGTAGATAGACTTGGTCTTGGTTGCCCGAAATAGCTGCCCGGAGGAGTTGCAAATATGGTAGCCGAGTAAACAGACTTTCGTTGAAAGGGACTTTGATGAAGCACAGTCACTTTCAAACCAATCAGCTTTCTGTTGGTAAGCGTGGCGAATCCACATGACCAACTTGAAACCGTAGCGAAATCTGCGTAGGGGAATCTTGAGAATTTTCCATCGTGTGGATTCCTATTGAAATTACTGGATTTCGAGCTTGAAAATATTAACAAATGTGATCCCTGCAAAAACACGGCCGTTGACTGATCTTCGAGCTCCGCCAACAGGTTGCTTATGCACTTTACATAGAGATTTTCTATGTTAGTTGACCAAGAAATCACCACAGGCTACTGATGAGAATCATGTGCCAGCATTTTCCATTGGGATACACAAATAACAGTATAATGAATCTTGTGACTGGTTTTGCCAATAACAAATACCAGCAAAACAAGAAAAACACTATTCTGAGAAAGCAAGTATGCAAGCATTGCCAGGTTACACATCAACAAACTAATCTAGTTGCATGAGCAGAGATGTCAGTTGAATACTTACCCTAAAGGAGATGAAGCCGAGTTAAAGGTGACTGCATAGATTTTAAAGCAGAGTAAAAGAGTGAGTGAAGAGAAAGGAGAGAATGACTGTGTGGAGAGAGGAATATGAAGGGAAGAGAGGGAGAGAGGCAGGAAGCGCAGCCCTATCAATGTCTCAGAGGGGATCCGAACTCTTTTAAAAACATCCAAGGAACATACACGCATACGCACGCAAATGCTGGGCCAGAAACTGCCTCTGGGACACGTGAGAAAAGACCCTGTATTAGGCAGAAGTTTGTACTTAAAGGGATTGTTCCCTCAACAATGAAAATGATCATAATTATCATTATTTATGTTGTTAGGCTGTTATTTTTTCATTGGAATACAGAAGGAAAGTTTTAAAGATTCTTTCAGTTCTTTTTTCAATAAAATATTTTAATTTTTTATTATTATCAATAATATTTCTATGTAGAATTTAATTATTCATTATGGTCAAAAAGGGTTAATGTGAGGGGGGGGGGGGGGGGACTTAAAAATTTTGCAGTTTTATGGAGCTCTTTGTTAATGCTTTGGAAAAGTAAAAAAAAATAGTTTTCAGTAATTAAGTTGAAATAAAATATAGATATTAGATGGAAAACTTAATGTAAAAGGAAGTGAAAATTATAAATGTTACCTTGGCAACTAACTAAAAAAAAACAAGTTGATATAATATAATATAACTAATATAAAAATATATTATAAAATATTTTATTTTAATAAAATATTAATAAATAATACTGAAATAACCACTTTCATAAAACGTTGATTGTGTTTTTTCCCCTTGCTATTGAAAATCATGGTCACTATGATCTGCTGTTGTATATATATATATATATATATATATTTTTTTTTTATTCTACTTATGTGTTCGACAGAAGAAATAAAGCCATACAGGTTTAGAACAACATAAGGGTGAGAAAATGATGACAGAATTTTCATGAATGGATCATTGGATGAACTGTCCCTTTAAGACTCAGTATCGCTGCCTATTGAATTGTCCTAACACTTTCAGGGTCTTTTATTGTTTACAATCATGTCACCACATTTACATTAAAAATGTTTTTGTTTCTAAAACATGACAAATGTCATCTGAAAAACATCTGTATCACTGCACTGTGTGTAAATATTTATATAAAGTAGAAAACACTATCCAAAAAACTTGAGGATGGCACGAGACTAAACAGAGAAGCTCAGAAAACATCAACCCTCCAGATGTAAGCATTGTTCATGAGTTAGTTATGGGTGAATGAGCTGATTGAGTTAGGACTTAGAAGGACCCTTACGAAGGCTTAAATAAACCTGTATGAAAACTGTCCATGGTTCTTGGCGGTATAGATTGGTTATTATTTGCTGTAGGTTATTACTGCTGCTGCTGCAGAGCCAGTACGAGACTTGCTACCGCCAATACATACACAGACACGCTGCTGTGAACAAGTAGGCTAACAAAGCATACATGAATTATCCATAGCAGATCTATACAGGTGGAGCTGGGGAAGGTGGAGGGTTTCTGAAAGCGTGATGCAACTGCGAAATGCTGACCAAGTATTTGAAGGTTCAGCAGCGAGCTTATTGGCTACTGATACAGCAGGAACCAATCAGCTGTGCCCAATAGAGAATGATGTGATTGCAGGCAGATTGAGTTAAGGATCTATGAGCCTGTGCCATTTCGAGTTTCATGAAAGAACTTTGTATTACTATTCCAACATAAAATCCACATTGATTTTCTAGGCTTTAACTCACCGATCCTTTCTCCAGCCACTCCATGAGGCTCTGTGCGGTGGTGCAGGGCAGCTGGGAGCGCAGTGACTTGCGGTCCTCGTCCCCGACCTGCAGCTCCAGTGTCAGTCTCAGCTCCTCAGCCAGCTGGAGAACCTGCAGGGGCCCGACACTCACAGGAGAGCCCAGGTCATAGAGCCCGTTACTGAACTCCACCGCAGCCTTGGAACCTGCCGTCAGAAACATAAGGTACACTAAATAAGAAGCAAAAGAGGTTAGACCCTTGCCTTAGTGGTCATACGCTCATATCGGCGATACAAGTTCGAATCCACCAAATGGTTCAATGCAATTTCTTCTTTTTTCCCCCCTTATGTTGTACCAAAGCAGTCAAAAGGTCTTAAAAATGACTTTGAAACAATTTCCACTAAAAATTGCTAGTAAATTTCACAAATAATTGCAAAAAATAAACGTGACTTTTTGAAGACTGCATAGAGCAGGGTTATTATCGTTAACTAAAACTAAAATTATCAAAACATTTCTGTTAATTTAAATAAAGCTGAAATAAAATAATTTTTATATATATATTAGTTGAAAAACTTAAACCAAGCGAAAATTAGAAATAATGCCTTGGCAATAAACTGAAAGAGTAAGTTAAATTAGAAGCACAAAAATTATTAACTGTACATAAATAAAAACTAACACTAGCTAAGAGTAAAACTGAAATAAAAATAAATTAAACCTAAATAGCAATATTTTAAAAGAAATGAAATAAAAGGACAAAAGCACATAACGAAATGACTAAAAATTAAACTACAATGAATTACCATGAAAATGAATAATATAACAACAAAAACTAATTTATAATATTAATAAAGCTAAAATAATACTAAATAGTATGTCCTTGTAAAGTGTACTCCAATAATCATTGTTTTAATTCAAATCATTTTTACAGTGTATGTGAAAAAAGATACAAACAGGGCAAAAAGTGACTCGAGAGGCAAAGAGATGCACCATCACGCCATGTCATACATCATCACATCATATTACCCATCACCCACAGCACACCGCTGCAGCCACGTGTTGACTCCATCAACACTTCCAACTGTCCCCATCTGGATACTATGGAATGAGACGTAACAAATATACAGGAAGCACCAGAACATCTGGAAACCATCAGGATTCTATAACACTTTAAAAGTCTATGATGACATCGCTCCATTTTTTAACAGCAGAATCACCAATAAGAACAAAGAGAGACACAGCTGACAATTGGATAATGGCCTCAGTGTCATTTTTCATATGCAATTGCCAGCACGTTATACAATTTTCCATTAGTTTAAGTGGAATAAAATCAGGTCTCGTTAACGTAAGATTTGTATCGTTTCCATATGTCTTCTGCTAGTGTGTGTTTCCATATGTCTTTTGCTGCTACAAAGAATGTGAGGACAAAATGTACATAGCCTAACTGTTTATATAAATGCGTAATTTGTGCATTCAGGCACAAGTGTTTTGCTTGCCTGAGAGCATGAAATGACCTCATTGGTTGTTTTAATGAAGGGGTGGAGGGGTGTTGTGCCCCTCTCTGATACTCATGCTCACAAATATCCCTTAGGTTTTGATAATCCAAAATAATAAAATAAAAAATCGCCTAAAATAAATAAAATCACCTAAATAAAATCCAAAAAAATAAAATCCAAAAACACCTCAAATAAATGAAAATCACCTAAAATAAGACAAAATAAAAAAAACGAAGCTATTAGAAATGATCTTTTAATCGAATAAGGCTAGAGAATGCTAGATGTTGGATCATCTTGGTTGTAATTGAGATGTTCCAACTGCCACCAGCAGATGGAGACATTCAAGAAGCATGAGAAACTCTTAGAACAACAGTCCTTCATTGTCATGAGTCAGTTCACTCAGCAGACCTGAGGAGACACAACATGCCTGTGGTCAACTCTCATCACGCCCTCCTATTCTTAACACGCACAGACAGACACTCATTTAAAGTCTAGATCCAGGATTAGCCTCACTGTATGACATTTGATTACTAAACATTAATGGTTTCAAATGATTTAAATTCATAAGCAATTGATTTATAAGCCTGTGCTATTTGAAGTCCTGCATCTGTAATATTTGGCACATGTAGCCTTCATTCTGTACAATTATAACTCATGACATGCAGGACTACTCAGCTAATAGACTATGTGTGGTATGCAATCCATATCTTATATTACGGTATGAATAATTTTACATATATGCTAACATATAACTCATGATAAAAATGGTTTAAATATTAAATAAATAAATAAATATGCAGTATTGTAGTTATTAAATATGTAGTATTTCCTTATCGAGTCCCAGCTCAGTAAAAAAAAAAAAAATCCAACATGGAGGATGACTTATGAAATATGACAATATAGTTGTATTGTATTCAATACTGAAAAGAATCAATAAAAAATTGTTTAGTGTAGTTAAAAACAGATTATTTTACACAATAAATACTCATTTTCTAATAATATTTAGTTGAGGGTTTTAATGATTTTTTTTATGTTGTTGCTTTATTTATTTGATTAAAAAAATACTGTAAACAGCAATATTGTAAAACATTATTACGTTTTAAAATAACTGGTTTCTATTTAAGTATGTTAAAAAATGTAATTTATTCCTGTGATGTAAAGCTGAATTTTCTGCATCATTACTGAATCTTCAGTGTCACATGATCCTTCAGAAATCTTTCTAATGTGCTGATTTGCTGCTCAATAAACATTTCTTATTATTATAAATGTTGAAAACAGTTGGGCTGCTTTATATTTTTGTGGAAACCGTGATACACGTTTTTCAGGATTCCTTGATGAATAGAACGTTCAAAAGAACAGCACTTACTTAGAACTCATTTATTACATACATGTCTTTACTGTCAATTTTGATCAATTTAATGCTTCCTTGCTAAATTAAAATATAAAAAAATTATATGATGTGAAGCCTATCAAAAATAGGAGCCATTGGTCTTTAGATCACCATGTTGCTCTTTTTATCCCACATTAAAAGTAAATAAGCCAACACTGTTTTGCCTAAATGTTAATGGTAGTATGACCTTAGGTTATGAAACTGAAATAAACAGTGTTTCTCACAGATTTTGTCACAGTCCAGACTAGCTGAGTCCACTGCATTGTACCTCTCTGTCTCAGACAGCAAACTGCATGTTCCGCTCCATTCCTCCCCCAGTCTTCATTTGTTGACTGCCCACATTAAACATTTATCCTCTATTAGTTAAATCATGTTGGCAATCGCTGAGAATGCTTGAGGGGCTTCACGGCCCCCACATCCTCTCTTTACCCAGCCCTGTTAAGAGTTTCCCCTCTGAAACTGGCTGCCAGTTACTCTGCTTTGTTATAAAATGTTGTGCTATATATATATATATATATAGTGCAGATGGAATATATAGCCTTTGTTTTGTAGGGGCATGATTAAATGAATACATTTTTAATGCATTATATTAATATAATTTACTAAATTAATTAACATGTTAAATTGACAGCCCCATCATTAAGCCGTACATTTTAACTATCAAGGCTTTTTATTTAGCTTTACCTTTGTTTGGCAAGTACTTTTCTTTCAAAATATCCAACAACACCATGTAATCCTTTCAAAAACCTTCACACATGTAGTGCTGAGGGAATCCAATTAGCATGCATAGATCAAGAGATATGCTGAAAAACACATTGTATAGGAGCAGACCCTTATCTGATCGCTTCCTGAAAAGCAGCCAATCAGGAACAGACTCCAAGATTACCTTTACCATTTTTGTGGGAAGCTAAACCTGCTATTTTGAAATATCCTGTTTGTTATTCTGTAATTGAGTTCATCAGGAGGATTTCAAATCGACTTGAAGCTAAATTAAAGTCTTACCAGCAATAATATCATCCATTTGTTCCAAGGCTGCTTCTAACATGTGACTTGCATCTGAGGCCATGGCGCCAGCCGTCTACTGCATCTGCTGGTTTGCTTCTCAGCGACCTGCAAAAATGTGTCATGTGATGATGCAACATTAGGAATAAAAGTCACAATTACAGTTGCTGGGAAAGTGTGTTTCGAAATTGAGGGTGGAGTAAAAACATTAATCTTGTGTGTGAACCAATACCATGAATCTCATCTGACACAAGTAGCAGCTTGGCATGTCTAAGACTGCAGCTTTCCTGACTGGAATGTACAATGATGCCAATCTAACTTGACATTACATAAATTGCCTTGAGCAAATGTGGTATACAACGACATGTAAATACGTACAAATCAAACTGTCCACTCTGACAAGTCTGTTTTTAGAAAGTGCCACTTAGAAAGCTGTACGTGTTTGACTGCATGCTTTCTGAAGCTATAATATAAAATGGTCTCCATATTAAGAGCTGGTATTTTCCCAAGCGTTAACCCCTGACTCTCTGCTTTGACGTATCCCGAGGCAGGTTGACTTTCTCCCTGTGGGACCTCAGTGATGGAGGGAAATTTGAGAATGATTACGCTTGTCAGGGTCAAGTTTCACCCTATTGTCATGCCTTGTGGCATGTGTAATACGCACATTCATTCATCATATATTTAGCCTCACACACATAAGCAAACAAAGAGGCATCTCTAAATTATGGAAGCCCGTTTCTGTCTCAGAGTAAAGCTCCGGTCACATTTACCGTTGCTCGGACAGTCATTTCAATAGGAATCCACAACCAGGACCATGTGAGAAGTGCCGGTTTGCAAGAAAAAGTGAGGTTACGCCACAGATTAAAATATAGAAGTGCCGGCCAACTTCGAGCACTGGATATACATTTTTTATAAATGTTAGGCCACATCATGAACAGAACATTTAACCTACTTGTTGTAATCTTGTAAGTGGGCAGCCGGGACACATGCCAGTCAGGTAGAGGGTCACAAAAGGCAACTGTCGAGGGCCACCGTGCTGAAAGGGTGCGCGGCCCACAATGCTGTTCATTATGTATAGCTTAATTTAGTCTCACACGACAAGAGAGTGTTGACTCTATTCGGGGCAGTGGGATCTTTCACTGCTGAAACACACAACAGCGCTGTAATCACGGCCCTGATAGGAATGTGAATACAAGCCTTCAGTTAAATGACAAGAAGAGATGAGCGCAGTTCATTAATAGATAGCATGCTTTTTAATGCAAGCGAAAATGGAAAATCCAGTACAACCTCAAGCATTGCGCACACACCCCAGTTGTTCGAGCAGATAAGGGTGTGTAGGCTTTCTGTCATGTGCTATCTGCCCTAAAAAAGGAGTCACGTCTTATTTGATCATGCTGATGAGGCTTTTTCGTCTCTCTTCACTTATTATAAGGTGGCACAGGGCAAAGAAATATACCGCTGTTGCTTATCAAATCAAGAAGTTTTACCATTCTCTTTCTCGTCTCACGTCCAATAATCTGCTTACAAACATCCAATCCCTTAAGGTTCTCCTGCCATTTTATGAGAAATCACAACAATTTTTAGATTCCTGACCCACTACAGAACAGGCGGTCTTATCTGACCCACACACTCAAACTCAATTTCTGTTTAGGCAATTAAATCAGTCTGAAAAAGATAATGTTAACCATAGTAGTTCTCCTGTGTCATCTGTTTCATACCATTACGACCTGACAAATCACTTCAAGAGATTCTTCTGTTGTTTAGGTTATTTATTTCTCACTGTGGACAGTTCCCCATTCAAACGCTCCACCTGTGTAGTTTTCTCCATGTACTGTATAGTGTGTTTCACATGAGCTCAATGCCAGTCAACTACAGTTAAAGCACATTATGGAAACAGTATGTGATGCAAATATCAAAGTTACCATATAAACTAAAATCAAACACTCCTGAGGAAGTTGGAGTCATTCAAATTCTTCTGGCCTTTAGATCATACTAGTGAGTAGTCTCATGGAGTCAGAATTTAGAGATAATTAGTATAATGTAATGTAATGTAATTGTATACATATAAAATTGTTATATTTAAAACAACAATTATTAATATAATACAATTATATATATATATACACTCACCTAAAGGATTAGGAACACCATACTAATACTGTGTTTGACCCCCTTTCGCCTTCAGAACTGCCTTAATTCTACGTGGCATTGATTCAACAAGGTGCTGAAAGCATTCTTTAGAAATGTTGGCCCATATTGATAGGATAACATCTTGCAGTTGATGGAGATTTGTGGGATGCACATCCAGGGCATGAAGCTCCCGTTCCACCACATCCCAAAGATGCTCTATTGGGTTGAGATCTGGTGACTGTGGGGGCCATTTTAGTACAGTGAACTCATTGTCATGTTCAAGAAACCAATTTGAGATGATTCGAACTTTGTGACATGGTGCATTATCCTGCTGGAAGTAGCCATCAGAGGATGGGTACGTGGTGGCCATAAAGGGATGGACATGGTCAGAAACAATGCTCAGGTAGGCTGTGGCATTTAAACGATGCCCAATTGGCACTAAGGGGGCTAAAGTGTGCCAAGAAAACATCCCCCACACCATTACACCACCACCACCAGCCTGCACAGTGGTAACAAGCCATGATGGTTCCATGTTCTCATTCTGATTACGCCAAATTCTGACTCTACCATCTGAATGTCTCAACAGAAATCGAGACTCATCAGACCAGGCAACATTTTTCCAGTCTTCAACTGTCCAATTTTGGTGAGCTCTTGCAAGTTGTAGCCTCTTTTTCCTATTTGTAGTGGAGATGAGTGGTACCCGGTGGGGTCTTCTGCTGTTGTAGCCCATCTGCCTTAAGGTTGTGCGTGTTGTGGCTTCACAAATGCTTTGCTGCATACCTCGGTTGTAACGAGTGGTTATTTCAGTCAAAGTTGCTCTTCTATCAGCTTCAGTCAGTCGGCCCATTCTCCTCTGACCTCTAGCATCAACAAGGCATTTTCGCCCACAGGACTGCTGCATACTGGATGTTTTTCCCTTTTCACACCATTCTTTGTAAACCCTAGAAATGGTTGTGCGTGAAAATCCCAGTAACCAAGCAGATTTTGAAATACTCAGACCGGCCCGTCTGGCACCAACAACCATGCCACGCTCAAAATTGCTTAAATCACCTTTCTTTCCCATTCTGACATTCAGTTTGGAGTTCAGGAGATTGTCTTGACCAGGACCACACCCCTAAATGCATTGAAGCAACTGCCATGTGATTGGTTGATTAGATAATTGCATTAATGAGAAATTGAACAGGTGTTCCTAATAATCCTTTAGGTGAGTGTATATATATATAGATAGCATTATATTACTACTATGTTAATAATTAGTATAATAATAAAAGCAATATTTTTAATATTATATTAATTATTGCATAATATAACAAAAACACAACAATAGACACAACAACACGGAAATGTGTGTAGAGAGTTTGTACTTGGAATTTGTGATTATCGAAAATTACTAATTATTTTACATTACTAAGTAAAATAATCAATACTATGGATCTAGTTAATCTAGTTTCTCAAACAAATCTTTTAAATGTTTGTTTAGATGAAAAGTAATACAACTTCTGAAATGTCCCTCACAGTAAGTCAGTGTTGCTTCTATCAGTGTTGACACATTCCAATAGAAGCCCCTGCCCTCAGTGTTCCTGATACTCAAGAGTGTGACCGAGCCGCCCAGAGGGACTGAATCACACACACACATCACATGCCGGACAGCATTCAAGTCCTCGGCTGCTTAGATCCTCTGTGTTTATAAAACCCTGATAAGCCAACACAAACAGCGAAACCTGTAAACAGCTGGACCTTGAATTATAAAAAAATCACTCTTTCCGCCCAAACCCATTCTGAATATTTCCGTTCACACTGTTTCTCTTAGAGATTGCAAGGCCATCCAAACCACAGGTTATTCATGCGGAGGCTTTGAGAGGGGAAACTGATTTTAAGGAAGTGTTTGAACCTGATCCCAACTACAGTATCCCTCACCTCACTTTACTCATTTATGATATCAATCCCATAGACTTATATTGAAGGAGGGACGAGAATCATATTAGAGACCAGGATATCATCATAGAGAACTTACTGGGCCATTTAGACTTTACCCTGAATACCATAGTAATCTGCCTTGTGGAGGTGACCTTTTCACGACACTTGTAAGCACCGCCTACATTTTCTTCGGAAAATGTAAAAATCTTGTTTCAACCATCATTACAGTGTCTCTCTGTGTGTGTGTGTGGGTGTGTGTGTGTGTGTGTGTGTGTGTGTGTGTACAGTGTTATGTAAGTTAGTTACTCAAAAAAAAATTATGAATTAGATTACTGTACTAATTACTCTCTCTACAACGTATTGCATTATTAATAATTACTTTCTAAATCCCATATCAACCACGACCAGTTGAACAATACAAAGATAGACATGAAACTGCTCTTTCAAATAAATAATATAAAAGTGCATACATTATTCTTGAACAGACAAAAGTATTTAAGGGGAGAAGGTTACATTAAAAAAATACATTTTATTATTTTGATGTTAAATCCACTATTGTTTTAAATAAAGTTGTACTATAGTCTATTCAGTATTTAATGCAATGAAATCAGAAGTAACTATAATTAAATTACAGAGGAATTAAGAGTTATCCCTTACTTTACTTTTTCAAGGGAAAAGTAATTAAATTACAGTCATTAATTACTTAGTAATGCATTACATCAACCCAACACTGTATGTACTTTTTTTGGTATGAAAAAAAATGACCAAAAAAAAAAAAACTAAAGTAAATAATTGTTTTTTTCATGCAAAATATAAAAAATATATATTTTTGATTTGGGGTGAAATGTGACCTGGACATGTTTTCAAAAGATTCACCTCGTGAGACACATTAGTCTAGTGTTGTTTGCTTTACTTTGACATGTGACAAGTTTTGACAATACCGGTACTTAAGTGTTTGCTCTAGATATCACTCACAAGCAGACACTGAAGAATCTATAGATCTTTTGGATCCAAAACCCTTTGAAATATTGTGAAACCAAACAAGCAAACTAATTCTTTGG